AGGTTGGAGGCCACCGCTCCATCGCTAGTAGGTTGGAGGCCATCGCTCTTAGGGTTTCGCATTGGTTCATGTTCATGTTAATGTTCTTCTTCATTTCTATTTTGTTTCCGTCTTCGGGCGGGCCTGAGAGACCACCATACCGCTCGATTGGCATCTGGAAGTTGGCCAACTCTGGCGGAACGACATGCAGTCACTTGACACGGTCTTTGTTACACTCATGTGGCTGTGGGGCGACGCCCAGCGCACCTCTCACAGCTGAGGAGCTCATTTTGTTGCAGTGCCGAGAGGGCTCGAAAACAGCGGAAAGCACAGACGAAACTGACCAACCAAGACAATATGAGAAACCTTCAGTTGCAGCCTCCACAGACCAACACTTCAACCATCACGTGCGCACAGGGCGACGGGGTAACTGTTGATAAAACCTAGAGGCAGCTTTTAGCACTTGTGCACCCCTGGACATCAATGTGCAGTCTGAAAACGGGTGCTCTTGCACATGTCTTGATTCTCTACTGCGCATGCTACTGCACGTTCCTCGTATGAAACGTATTTTCTTTGTGAGCAAGGGTCCGGTTAGGGCTCAGATTTCAACACGCCCGATTTTCGAGTGTTGATTCAGATTATCACTGTTTAAGTCCAAGTATATACAGATTCAATCAGATTCATCGATATTTGGCTCGGTTTGTGGCTGTGGAGGTCCACTTCATCCTCATCTTTTCCGCTTCCATTTGCAGCCTTATTTTGTTCATTTTTTTCCTTATCTTGTATCCTTACCCTCCTCACCCATCATCCATCCTTGTCCTCCACTTAGCAACCGTCCGGGTCCACCCTGCCTTGTCCTTCATCCGCTTCGGAGCTGGTCCTGGACTCGAGAAAAGACTGCTACAAACCTGCTAGGACCTAGGAATTACTCCTTAAGCAGAACCTGCATTCAACCATGTTCCATCCGATCCGCACCTTCACTGGTGTCCGCCTGCCCTCTCACGAACTGGCAGGCGGTAGCGGAGCAACGCCGAGCCGACGCTGAACGCCTGCGCATGGAGGACACTTTGGGGAACAGCTGGAAGAGTGAAACGATTCCCAAGGAAGCTTCTAGCTTCTAGTAGCTTCTTGTTACTAGCGATGGCCTCCAACCTACTTGTGATGGCCTCCACCTAGTAGCTTCTAGCTACTAGTAGTAGTCCTTCGCTCAATTTTCGTGCGTGGCTTGCATGCCTGAAGTAAACGCATTTCATCCATGATTGAAACAGATGAAGTGAAATGGTTCTACTGATATATACATATGCTCCTTGCTCCTAGCAGCTTCTTGTTCCGTGTTCCGTTCGTAGCGATGCCCTTTGCTCTTGTTACTGGTAGTATGGCCAGCGCCCCGTTCGTAGCGTCCTTGCTCCTAATCATAAATTTATTAAGAGATGCCAAGTCACGTGCAGACCTTGTCGTGCGAGCTCTTGCCGCTCGAAGGCCGAGCGCCAGAGAGCTGAGCTGCAGAAGAGGGGAGGAGATGCCCAACGTCGGCAAGTTGAGAGGCCGTGGCAGTTGGCCTCGTGCTCTTAGAGGTTCAACTGGGTTGAACCGGGTGGAACTAGTAGCGATGGCCTCCAAGCTAAGAGCAATGGCATGCTTTCAAGAGAAGTTTGCAAGAGAAGACCCTTTTCAACCAAGACTAGGAGCAAGGACGCTACTAGGGGCTCCTGGCCGTACTGCTGACAACAAGAAGCTTCTAGGAACAAAGGGCATTGCTACTAGGAGCAAGGACGCTACTAGCACCTCATAGCGACTTCAAGCCAGGCGGGAGAGTTTGGCTGAAGACCTCCGGCGCCTGGCAGAAGAGAAGCGACGAGCGCGGCAAGAAGAGCAGCAAGAGGCGAAGGGAAACCACCCTTGCCTCCTAGTAGCTTTGTTCCTAGTAGCATCCTCTTGCTCCTAGTGGTACGGCCAGGAGCCCCTAGTAGCGTCCTTGCTCCTAGTAGCGAGGCCAGGAGCCCCGAACGTAGCGTTATTGCTACTAGTAGCGATGCCCTTTTTTCCTAGTAGCGTTTGTTCTTCATTTGTGCCGGTTGTGAGCGTGTGAACTTGCACACTGTTTGTGGATGTTGAGGACCACATGTGGAGAGAGACGTTTAGGGGTGCAGTCCTTCAATCGATGCTCAGGTGGAGCGAAAACGCGCAGAAGCACAGAGGTCTCGCATGGAGGCAGCCTCACGTCGCTTGCACAGATCCAGGGCAGCAGTACGAATGTGTGTCAACCCTTGGACAATTAGCTTTCTGAATGTTTTGGAGGCCATCGCTACTAGGCTGGAGGAACCCTTAATGGCCTCCAACCCAATAGCGGTGGACTCCAAACTAACAGTGATGGCCTCCAACCTAGAAGCGGTTGCCTCCAAGCTGATTAGTTTTCTGAATGTGGATTCGAGTGTTTGAATCAACCTCGCTCCATCGCCGAGGAAAGCTCCGTTTGGTTGAGGAGAAACACCGCCTCGCTGAGGAGTTCGTGTGTTCCCGGTCCGCGGCAGTGAGGTGTGGTGTTGAGGTAGAAGTCGGGGGTTTGGGCCAGGCGTAAAGAATCTTGAGATCGAATGTTTTCTTCCCTGCAGGTAGGCCGCATCAAAAGGATGCATCGCTACTAGTAGCTTCTTCTTGCTACCAGTAGCGATGGCCTCCAGCCTACGAACGCGATGGCCTCCACCTAGTAGTAGCTTCTTAGCTAATTAGTTTGTCTTAGTCACCTCGAGCACCTCTCCCTCCAGGAGGCAAGGCGTGCCATTGAAGAGGGGCGGAGGCGCCGCTTCACCGAACCAGGCTCTTCACCGAACACGGACGGTGGTTTAGCTGTGACGGAGGGTGTGTCCGTTGGTTTGGAACGGACACGGTGGACTCGGGCGAGAGCCCTTTAAGATCCTTTTTAAGATCCTTTTTAAGGCCCTTTATATAATTGGATGTCTTTTTAAGCCTCAAGGACCCCTCATGAACACCGTCGTTGATGTCTTTAGTGCCTTCATTGCCAAGTCGCGTCAGCTTTCTCAGGCAAAGCCAGATTTGAGACTGCGCGAGGTGCCAGCAGTATACGCAGTTTTGTTTGAACGAGTGTGTTTCATGCAAAAAGGCGTGCAAAGCTGGATGAACATGAAGAAATTCTAAGAGTTTGCCTACATCTTTCTTTTTGCATATATATATAATATATATACAATGTATTTTCAAAAAGAACATGCTTTTTGTGATATATATTGTTTCTAATAGCTTCTTGTTACTACTAGTAGGGCACTTGTTACTAGAAGCGATGCACTTGTTCCTAGTAGCTTCACGAAAAGCATGTAGTAACAAGTGCCACGCTAGTAGTAACAAGAAGCTATTACTAGGTTCAGACCACTGTCGTGTTTGGTTCTGTCCTGTCCTGAGGCCGCAGGAGTGAGACCGATGCAAGGCCGATTTTTTCCGTTGCGGACGTGATCCGTACGACGTGTCGTTGCTGGCGTGTGACGTGTCGTTGGATGCACTTGTTACTAGTAGCGTTCTTGTTACTACTAGTATGGCACTTGTTACTACTAGCGATGCACTTGTTACTACTGGCGAGACTGATGAGAGAAGTAAAGAAGGAAGGTGTTCGGCCCTTCTTGAAAAAGGGCCCTGCTGAAGCAGGGCTTTTTTTCGGGCGCCCTACCGTCCTTTTCTTCCTTGACTTGTTAATAAGTCAAACAGGTCATAATAGGTCTTGATAGAAACACCCTATGCTCTGAACCGTGCTTAGATGATCAATGCCGTGTTCGGACTCTTCATCGATCCATGTCGACCCTGCAGGCGCAAGAGCCTCGAAGGCGGTAAAAGACGTGCAAAGAGTGCCCGGGGCCCCACCGGAACTCAGTGGGTTTGGTGCTTGTCGGTGTGATCCAGTGGCTTGGGGTCCTGGCATCACTACTAGTAGCAAGAAGCTACTACTTAGGTGGAGGCCATCGCTATTAGGTTGGAGTCCATCGCTACTAGTAACAAGACACTACTGGGGTGCGTTTCAGCGGGCTTTCATGGCATTGGAAGAATGGCTTCTGCCAGTCGTTACTCCAGTCGTTTAAGCCGTTTAGAATGCCCAGGCTGATGCAGACCAAGAGTGCGAGGCCAGGCTATGTTGTTTTTTTGGTGGGGGTTGGGGGGTCTCACAAGAATTTTGCTTGTTTTTTTTCCGATCTGTGCGGCAATTGAATCTAGGTCTCCACCGCAGG